AGCAACATGCCACTTCCTTCCCCTCTCTCTCACCTTACCTAGCAGGGAATTCCTTAAAGATTCCTACGGGGCCCCAGCGAGACTTAGCAAGCAAAGACCCTTGCCTCGCAAGCCAGAGACCAGAGTTCAATCCCCAGAACCCATGGTAGATGGAAAGAACAGGCTTCTTGAGAACTGTCCTCTGATGTCCACACATGGCAGAGCACACACGTGCCCACCCTCTCTCTTAATTACACATGCTCTCTCTCATAAAACTTTAAAAGGGGGTTGGTGGTGGAGAGAAGACTCAGCAGTCAGAAACATTTGCTGCTCTTGCAGAGGGCTGTGGTTGGGTTTCTCAGCACCCACATCCAGCGGCATATAACGAACTGCCTGTAACTCCACTTCCGGCTTCTCGGCACCTGCACACACATGGTCCACATCCGTACACTCAGGCACACATACACATACACATAAAATATGTAAGCAAATACATCTTTCTTTTATAAAGACCTCATGGGGCTGAAAGAGCAAAGGAAGATCAAACTACACGAACTAATACAGTCATAGGATTATCGTTCAAAGCAGTCACGGCTGTCTCGGCACCCAAATGGCCTGTCTTGCAGGCTCACCTGCCCCGGGTTCCCAGCTGAGACTCTCTGCCAGGGGAGGCTGATGTGCATAAGAGCTTTTCCAGAACTTTTCCTGAGGTTCTGGCCCCATAGAAACTTCTGCTGCCTTAAGGACGCTGTTCTTGGATGATCTTCCTGGCATTTTCTGATGTTTTCCCTCCCATGAGTCACCGTTGTTCCACACCCACAGGCCTTCAGTGTGACAGCTGCTCTGGAGGTACTGAGATCCAGGCTAAGGGGGAGAAGTGGGGCTCACATGAGATGATGTCCTCTGGGGCAGCGGCTGCCTCGCCTCCAAGCTCAGCCTGGAGGGGCCTCTGCCAGTAGGCTGAAGGGAGCAGGCTGTCATCCCGGCAGAGTTCCACGTTTGTTTGTGGAAATGTTTTATTTTTCTGGTCCTGGGGCTGGAACTTAGGGTCTCATCCGCAGTAGGCAAGTGCTCTGTCAATGTTCTGTGTTCTAGTTCTTTCAGTTTTTCAGCTCCCCTGAACTTGGCCATCCTCCTGGGGAGCTGCGATCACAGGCCTGAGCCACTGAGCACTAGGCCTGTCTTGGCTGTTTGGTTTTTTTCCCTAAGATTTCTGTGTAGAAGGCTGGCCTCAGACTTGAGTCCTTACAAGTGCCTCTGAAAGGCTGGAATCCCAGCACGTGTTACCATCCACGCCAGTGCCTCAGTTGGCCCCCATAAGTGAAAAGAAGCCGCGGGTTTGAGCCAGGCCTGGTGGCACACGCTGTAATCCCAGCACTGGGGAGTTCAGCAGAAGCAGGAGGATTGCCTAGAGGTGAGGGCCAGCCTGGGCTATTATATAGTCAGTTCTGGGCCAGCTTAGGCTATGTAGTGAAGCCCTTGTCTAAAAAATAAAATACAAAGCAGGCAAAGAGAAGAGAAAGAAAAAGATGAGGTTGTCGGAAACACCTGAGGAGCTGACGGCCCCGAGAGCAGCTGATGACCAGTTTGGAAATGTGAACTGTGTTTAGGCACTGTGCTAAACAGGAAGTTCCAGGAGGACAGTGGGTTGGCCAGCTTAGTGCCCGTCCTTTGTCTAGGCCACTTCACTGACAGTACCTAATGGTGGGGAGTGGGACAAGGAGATGGTTATTGACCTAAAAGCAGGTTTCATGGGTGATGGACAGACCAAAGACGTGTCTTACGGAAGACTTCTCCAGTGGCCTGCTCGGGGGATGGTCCAAAAGCTCTCCTGGCTGTGTGTGATGCTGAGTGTCCTCCTCCATCTCTCCACTGTGCTGAGGCAGGGTCTGCCTCTGAACTGGAACTCCTCAGTTTGACTAATCTAGCTAGTCCCCTTGCCCAGGGAATCCCCTGGCTCTGGATTCCACATGAGCTCTCATCCCTCCTAGCTTTTACATGTGAGCTGGGATCACAGCTCTGGTCCTCAACCTTCAGAGAAGCTCTTTATCCACTGAGCCGTCTCCTCAGCCTCTCGCCTGGATTTTTGAGATGGGACCAGACGTGAGTGCTAGACATGTGACAGCCGAAGTATTTCAGGGCTAGTGAGACGGCTCAGGGGTGAAGGTGCTCACTACTGTGCTAGCCTGGTGACCTGAATTCAATCCATGGAATGCACGGAAAGGTGGAAAGAGAGAACTGACTCCACAAAGGTGTCTCTGAGCACTCTGCATGTGCAACAGGCACATGTGATCACATACATACACATCACACACACACACACAGGCACATGTAACCACATACATACACATCACACATGCACACACACACAGGCACAGGTAACCACATACATACCCATCATACACGCACACACAGGCACATGTAACCACATACATACACATCATAGACACACACACAGGCACATGTAACCACATACATACACATCACACACACACAGGCACATGTAGCCACATACATACACATCACACACACACACACAGGCACATGTAACCACATACATACACATCACACACACACACACACACAGGCACATTGTAACCACATACATACACATCACACACACATACACACACACACACACACACAGGCACATTGTAACCACATACATACACATCACACACACATACACACACACACACACACACACACACACACACACACACACACACACAAACAATAGACTAAATACATTTTTTGTTTGTTTTTGGGGATTGAACCCAGAGCCTCTCACAATTCTACCGCTGGGTTGTACTCCCAGCCCTAGGAAGGAGAATTTTAAAAGTCACCTATACCTTACTTCTCAGAGATAACCACAGACAGTTTCTAAGGGTCAGTCTCTCCTTCACTGGATTCTTTCCAACAGCATGAAAGCCATGTCGAGTGCATAATTTGGGGTTTAATGTTTACACACTGTGTGTTGATCCCATCACCTCTAGATGAATACCTCTGTAGCTTTGGCTTAGTGAGTGGACTTGGCCTGTACCTGCCTTGCCGGGTGGAGGAGCAGAAGAGGCCCCCCCCCCCCCCCTTGGCACACAGGTCTGCTAACACTGGGACCAGGCAAGTGCTGCCTGGCTTGGGAAGCTGCCGGCTCCTGCCCTCTATCCCCGAGGAAGGTCTGTCTGTCACCAGCCAAGGTGAGTGGGCATGTCCACGACTTAATCTGGTGTAAGGGACAGCCCCCACCTCCGCATTAGAGCCCGTGAACATGCTCGTGTTAATAGTTCCAGGAGCTGTGCCTGTAGCTCACCCTGAAGGATTTTTAGCAGATTCTAATGAACTTCAGCCTTGTCCTTCTGATGCGAACAGACCACAATTCCACCGAATCTTTAGTTGTCTTTTGATTTGAGACATCCCACTGTGTATCCTAGGCCGTCACTGACCTCACAAAAACCCACCTATCTCTGCCTCCCAACTACTAAGATTAAAGGCTTGCATCACCACACCCAGCAATAATGTAGCCCAGGCTGGCCTTGAACTCACGATCCTTCAGCATATCCTACCCGTGTGAGGCAGCACAACTGTCCCGTCGAATCTGTTAATATACTTATTCAGTCACTTGAAATGACGTAAAAAATGTATTTCATGATGGAAGAGTGAAATTACTAGGGAGGTGGGGTCATGGGAGAATCCTAGTGAAATGAAGTCAGGACTTCTTAATAACATGCCACGTAGACTGAGATGTGTGCTTAAGCTCTGAAAGATGTGTACTTAACAAGTTAAAACAAGAACGGCCTGTTCAAACCTTTGCTGACATTTGCTAATCACGGAATTCACTGGGATATGAGAATTCAGTAGTCTTTCACTTGGTGTTGGAGAAATCCCGATACGCCTACAGGTCGTGTTCCTGGTAACAGAGGCCACCCCTCAGAACTGCGTAGAACTACCTGCAAAGGACATTAGCTTTGGTCACTAGAAAAGCAGAACTTGACCTTTGACTCATCCCACCTGACCCAGGTGGCTGGCTCCCCCTCCTCTGTAGGTGCTGGCTGCCTAAGTGTCTAAGACATTCATCTTCACAGAAGTGGGGCCTTCTAGGTCATGGCTGCGGAAGGCTGGGAACACACAGCGGCTTGGGCTTAGGTGCTATGGCCTCTCTGGTGACCCCTAAGAGACTCTCATGAGCTCTGTGGCACCCCTATTTCTGGTTCTTTTCCTCAGTCGTTTGGCTCCATCCTGTCCCCGTGCAGGAGCTGTGTATGCAGCCTGCCTCCCTGGTTTGTATCGCCACCTTTCTTTGAGTTCCAGATCACTTATTCACGAGTCCCCTCCACAGTTCACCTTGAAGCTGCCACTAGCCCCGTTTACCACACTCTACCCCCAGCTCATTGCCTCAGTGACACCATGAGCCTGCCAAGCTACAGACTCGGGAGTCACTACTGATTCTTCCTTTATTCCATTTTCATTCTGCTCACTAAGTTCTGCTTATTTGTCCATTTGGTGGCTCATTGTGTAAATGCTAAGCTCTGACGATGCACCAGGCATTGTGTTAGGTTGCTATTGGTGAGCAAAATCAGTCAATATCCCCTGTTTAGTTTTGGAACTAGACAAGCAATGTCATATCCAAAACATGTCGGGGCTGGGGGTATTCTAACTCAGTGAACAGAGTGCCTGCCTAGCATGCATGAGGCTCCGGGTCAGTTCCCGGCACCTCATAAACAAGGCGTGGTGGTGCACACCTGAATCTCAGCACTCAGGTGGAGTCAGGAGATCGGGTATAGGCCATCCTCAGCTACGTAGTGAGTTGAAGGCTAACCTTGTCAAAGACCTTGTCAAAGAAGGAAGAGAGAGAGAGAGAGAGAGAGAGAGAGAGAGAGAGAGAGAGAGAGGAGAGGAGAGGAGAGGAGAGGAGAGGGGAGAGGGGAGAGGGGAGAGGGGAGAGGGGAGAGGGGAGAGGGGAGAGAGAGTGAGAGGGGAGAGAGTGAGAGGAGGGGGGAGAGGAGGGGGGAGAGAGACAGACAGACAGAGAGGGAGAGAATGTCATAAATGTTTGGTGGTGGGACAGAGAAGACTTCCCAAGGATACCCATGCAAGAGGGAGCAGTAATGAACTAGATCTCAGACTAGGTCAGAGATTTCAGCTTCTAAGCAGGCAGAGCAACTCTGTTTAAATCCAAATGAGGTGGAAAGTGTGAGCTAAGGCCTCCCAGAGTGAGCAGGTGAGTTTTAAGGTGAAAAGGAAGGACACTGAGAGGTGACAGGTTCATATGCAGAACCAGTCTGGCTCCAGTGTGAAATCAGATTGGGTGGACCTTGAGGGGAGTGGGGAGAATAAGCCCATTCGCTTCCTCATTTTAAAATTAGATCTATTCATTTTGTTTCATGTGTGTTTTACCTGCATGCATTTATGTGCATGATCGTGCTTGGTGCCTGCGGAGATCTGAAGAGGGTATCAGATCCTATGGTACTGGATTGAAGTGATTCTGAATCACTATGTGGGTGTTGGGTATCGAACTCCGGTCCTCTGCACGAGCACAAATGCTCCTAACCACTGAGCCACCACTCCAACTCCAGCTTCCTTCTAATGCTCCTCGAACCATGAGCACCAGCCCTTGCCTCTTCACAGGGTCTGACCTACTTTAACATCTATCACTAGGGGAGGATGGATCCTTTATTGAACTCAAAATAATTCATCCCCCTTACTGTGGCCTTCAAACCTAGCTCTTAGCTCCCTCTCTGGTGTCCCATCCACTTGTCATCCTGTGCCTCCCCTGGGTCTTAGTCTAGGAAAAGGGGAATTGAGAGATGGAAGTGGTCTGAGGGACAGAAGTAGATAAGTATAAGTCAAATCTGAGACGAGTCTGCAGTCTAAGAGGTTAATCCACATTAGCGCGTAGGCAGTGGCTGAAGCAAGGGTTTCAGGCTAATGGAAGAGGACCAGGGCCAGTGCTTGGGAGGCACTCAGGGGCCAGGCACTTGGAGGCTTAGAAACAAGACCATCTTTGCTGGGAGGGGGTGCCTGAAGACAGGACCCTGAGCAGTAGGAGACAAGAGCATATGAGCCCCGGACTAGTGAAGAACTGATGTTCCTAGTTAGCTAGAACCCTAGCTGATAAAGGATGGGCAGTCGTCCATGATGTGTGAGGTCCTGGGTTTGATCCCTGGCACCAGGAAAATAATAACAATAATCATGGATGGGACTCAGAGATTTGGGACTGAGAAAGTCAATGACAAAGGCAGACTTGTGGCGGACTTGGTAGGAGAAAAGGGCAGACAGCAAAGTTCTTCACACTCTGTCTGTAGCCAAAATAAACCTTACAACAAGGCTCAGGTCTAGAACCAGAAGGCACAGAGACCAGAGCCAGGCAACCCATGCTATTTCCACACCAAGATCAAAACTACACTCACATCCATGCCATAGCTTCTAAACACATACAAGTCAAGGACACTAAAGGCTGGTCCATGAACCCCAAAAGGCTGTGACTGCTGGGGAGCCCCACCACCACTCAGGTGAATGAAACTCAGTGTGAGTATGATCCTGGGAGTAGCCCTGAGGAGGGTCTTTGGGGACCATAAGTGTTTGTGGTTGGCATGGTAACCAGGAGACTATGACATACTTAAGGGTGGGCGGGGTCACAGAACACAAGCTTTAAAGTAAGTGAATCATGTGTGGCTCATTTAATTTTAAAGGAGGACTCTGAGCTGAGCTTAGAACAATTTTTTCCTCTGAGTGCCATTTCCCAAAGGTACTCACAGAACAATAAGGTGTGACCATAATGGCTGCACTGAGTTGTCTTTTGGACAGTGTTAGGAGGGACATAAAGAAGGTGGACAGAGAATTAAGGCAATTGAGATGTATCGACGAACTCAGCTCCCGCTGCCTGTGTGACTTATACATGCATCCGTACTGCTGCTGTGACCTGCACCCATACCCCTACTGCCTCTGCTACTCCAAGCGATCCCGCTCCTGTGGCCTGTGCGACCTCTACTACCCATGCTGCCTGTGTGACTACAAGCTCTACTGCCTTCGCCCATCACTCCGCAGCTTAGAGAGGAAAGCTATCCGCGCCATTGAGGATGAGAAAAGAGCGTTGGCCAAGTGAGAGGGTGTAATCTAGGCCTGCGTAGTCAGTGCAGCAGCTGCAGCAGCGGGAAGAAGCGGGGCAGTGGGGACAGGGACAGCTGAATAGACAGGAAAAGGGATCAAGACGACAACTCGGGTGGCCTAGGCAAGGCTTAAGAAAAGTGGGTCCGTGGTGGGAATAGTGAGGTTCTCCAGAGGCAGCGTGAGGTGGTGGGCTGGCAAAATTGGTGGGAGTCTACAGTGAGAGTGCCAGTGTGGTACAGAAGGTGGTCTTAATGAGGGAGAGAAATGGCAGGTGTCGTTAAAAAGCTACTGGAAGCAGCAAGCTCAACATTTCTTCTGGGTATGACTCAAGTGAGTATTTCTGGGCTTGCAGAAATGACTGCAGGAGAAGTCATAATCATTGATCAAACCTTTAATGTTTGCCAGAAGCCTCAGGAGTAGAGAGTGGACTGAACGCCAGAGGCATTTCCTCTGTGCGTGGAAACCTTTCTCTTATCCAGTCTCAGGGCTGCTCTGTTGGCCTCCCTTTCCAACCTCAGGAGGGATGTGTGACAGCCTTCACAGAAGATTCAAATGGGGTTTTCACTGAATTGGGTAATTTAACAGGGGGAGTTGGTATATTTCTTTAACCCTTTCCTAACTTTTCACATATACCTATATTCTACATAGATGAGGGGCACTGTCCCCTGGTTAAACACGAAGTAAGGATTAAAGAACCAGGTGTGGTGGCTGACTCCTGGAGATCCTTGCACTTGGGAGGCAGAGGCAGGAGGATCACAGGTTCTTGGCCAGCTTCTGATTCATAGAGCATGAGGTCAGCTTGGGCTATGTGAGACTGTTTCAAAAAATTTTTTAAAAATGGGATTGAAAAGTTGGAAAGTTCTTTTATATATGGATACATTAAGTGAAAAGGCAAGAGGCAGAAAAATCATGTTTAATAAGGGACTATTCTTAAAAATAGAGCAGAAACAGATATGATATATAGGAAGATGAACAGATGGATGAATGGAAGGATTAATGGGTGTGTGCCTGGACAAAGCCCTTGACAACAGTGACTGTGATGTTTTATTGAGAAGGGTAATGGGACAATTGCTGCTGATGTCATCAGTTACAAGGTCAGAAGCAGACTTACCTAACAATCTGGGATGGAGTAGTCACAAATTTATCTACAATTTTGAACCAATGCTTATTTTAATTCCTCAGGATGTCAAGTTCTTACACTCACACTGTGAAATAGGGACTAGTTACTATTTGCTCTTTGTGAGTTGGTCTGTGTCTTCTCTCCATGGCTCTATGTCATCTGGCTTAGTCATCTGGCTGCCCCCACTTCCAGGGCAGACTTTTTTCTGCCCACTATCTGTGTCCTCTTGCCTTTCCACAAGACTGTTTCTTGGCACACCGTAGACTCCACCTCAAGCCTTGCTCTCAAGAGTGATTCAGAGAGAGCAGCGCTTTCTCCAGTCTGTGGTACTTTCCCTGGTAGTGTCTGCGTCTCCTCAGTACCAGCAGCATATATGAAGTGGATGGTGTCCTTCCTTAGTTCCTGGACCTGTGAGCCTCAGGTTTGCCCTCCCTTATCTCTTCCCCAGCACTTTTCTTCCAATTCACGCCACCTTGCAAAAGTTCTGCGCTCTATTTCCATCAGCCTGACATTTCACTGTCTGGAAGGAGTCAGAGTCAGCTACAACCCCGCAGCTTCAGTTTTCCTGATGGGGGTAAAAGCGGTAAAGTCCAGATCTGAGCTCCGATCCCAAAGGACTCATGACTAATTTTTCTTCCAATGAAGTGCCTTCTTTCTTATCTTTAATCTAGCTCCTGACCTGTGACTGAATAAGTCTCAAAATAATCAATCTCCATTCAGTTTTGTTTTGTTTTTTAAACCATCTTTGGTGTGAAACTGTGCTCAAGGCTTTTTGAGTTTAGAATTCATGTTTGTGTGACCTTTTGCCCCTTTAAAGAATGACTGGGCATCGGTGAGCTGTGACTTGTCTTTTCAGATGTCTGACTATGTGGTCCAGAAGATTCTCTGTCTTGATCTGTAATTGCCTCAGCTATATTGAGCTTTTTTTCCCTCTGTGTGCAAGTCTTCCATGTCTCCAGTGTTTCCTTGTCAAGAAGACTGAATTACAGTTTTAAAATGCCCTCCACAAGTATCTGCCATTGGATGGATGTGTGTGTACAGTGGGCTGTTTTTAGACAAGGTTTTACAAGTCCTGCTCACTGCTATTGTTTCTCAAGCAGCTGCTTTAGAAGACAGTGTCTTCCTGAGCAGGGACCAGACTCAGCTCTTCTGTTTCCTTAGCCGCTTCCCGATTTTCCTGGTCTCGCCTGTTGCACTCCAAGCTCTGGCAGTGGCCTGTCTCTTCCCTCACTTTTGGATTCAAAGGGATGGTGGTGACAATTGGGTTTTCTTTCATGAAGCCATGCCACCAGCCTGAGTTAAGCTTGTACATCCACACTTCAAGGGCTTCCCTGTCTCTTGTACTTAAGCTAGAGAAACTGACAAAACCCTGTCCTTCCTCAATCCTGTCTAGTGACTGGACGCTCGTGGTGCCGCTGACTCCTGGCTTGAGTCCTTTCGAGCTGGTGCACCTTAGTTGGCAGTTGTGCCCTTGAGCTGCACTGGGCTCAACCTCTGTGCCCTTTCCTAGAGACCAATCCCGAGACGGCCTTCCAGCCGCTCACGCAAGCATCTGTGGTTAGTCTGACTCTTAATAAGAAATTCCCTGGAAAATTCCACACACAAAATATGCCATCTTAAAACCTCAAATACTTCTCTTCTCTTTTACATTCACACTATGAGTATGAGGTTTTCACTGAATCTACTCAGTCAATGAGGCTGATGCAAGGCAGAGGTTTTATGGCTACCAAAAAGTTGACTTCCCTTCCCACTTGCTGCTTCTGGGTCCACTGAAAGATGGAAGTAAGCTGCCTCTTTAGTGTCTTTTATATTTTTTCAAACCCCTAGGTCTCAGAATCCATCATCATTTGACTACACAGGGCAGAGCTGATGCCCATGTAGGTCAAATGCAGCTTTTAATTTTATTTTCTGTGCTAGAAATAAAACCGAGGTCCTTGTGTATGCTAAGTAAGTATTCTATCACTGAATTACCCTCCAGTCTTAGATGAGTGTTATTTGATTTAACCTTTTCCTTTAATGATACAGGCTTGGGAGTTGTTCACCGAAGGTCTCAGACTTACAGTAAAGCTGTTTAAGGTAGAGCCTACATAGCCTGATAAAGAGGACTTACAGCTCATGGAGTAAAAACTAGATACCTAGCATTTCCTGTTTAATATCCCTAATGCCCTGGTCGGCTATTGTCTCAGTCATTTTCTGACAATGAAACATTAAGGAGCAGTGTTCTTGATGACTAGGAGGTGGCAGAGCAAAGAAAGCCACATCTGCCAGAGTCCAGAGCACAGGTGCATAGCAACCTGTCAGTTTTCAGTGTGACCCTGAACCAGTGTTAGCGGCGCCACCCGGAACTTACTAGACAGACAAAGTCTCGGCTCTATACCAACCCAGGGAAGCTAGAGCTCAGGTGGGAGCCAGACACCTGTGTTGTGTGAGCCCTGCTGGAAGAAGGATGCCCCTGCACCACACAACCTGCTCTCTGCTGCAGAGTGACATCCGTCTACTCCACAAGTCTGAGGAAAGGAGGAAAGCAGGAAAAGAAAGCAGAGAGGGGCCAGGAGACGGCTCAATGCCTAGAGTGCTCGCCTCACAAGCATGGAGACCTGAGTTCAGATCTGCAGCACCCACATCGAAAAGCTGGGTGCTGTGGCATCTAGAGCCCCAGCACTGGGAAGGTAGAGACAGGAAGACCTCAGGGTGCTAATCAGTGAGGTCCACATTCAGAGAGAGACCCTGTCTCAAAAATCTAAGGTTGCCTGATATCAATCTGGCCTCCACTCACACATGTGCACACACATGAACATATGTACACCCACGGGGCAGGGGCACAAGGAGGCAGGTGAAGATAAAAGATGTGAGGAGTGGGGTTTAGGTAGCTCTTTGGAATGGGTTTAAATTCAAGAGAAAAAGAATGTCCCAGTGAAGTCTAGAGGGCCCTGTGCTCTTCAGAGTCACGTCTTTGTTATGTTCTCCCTCACTGGGTTGGAACTGATCTTTCTGGAAACAGCTGAGTATATAACTCTACAAGAAAGGCAGGGTGTTTTGCATTCAAGAGTGTGGTTGGACATAGGAGTGAACACAGCCATGACCAGGAGAAAATAGGGGAACTCTGTGCACAAGCATAGTTCCCCCACAAGCTGACAAGCTTCCCTTAATCTAAGGGAGCAGGGCACAGGAGGCCCTGTCCCCTGCTTAGAACCTTACAGTCATGGAAAAACCCATTTCAGGTTGTGGATAATCCACCAGGCAAGAAACATGTTCCAAGTTCAGAGTTGAGTTTGATGAGTCAAATGTGGCCCCAACAAATTCTCCTACAACCACACATTCCTACTCATAACCATTAATGTAGAAAAGATAAGAAACCTGGCCTGGCTGAAAGTTTGAGGAAGTCTTCTGAAGACTCAACGTGTGGGACCCTTGGATGGTGTGGAACCCCTGGACAGTGTGGGGCCCCTGGACAGTGTGGGGCCCCTGGACAGTGTGGGACCCCTGGACAGTGTGGGGCCCCTGGACAGTGTGGGGCCCCTGGACAGTGTGGGGCCCCTGGACAGCTAGGGACTCCTGGACATTGTGGGGCTCCTGGACAGTATGGGACCCCTGGACAGTGTGGGGCCCCTGGACAGCTAGGGACCCCTGGACAGTGTGGGGCCCCTGGACAGCTAGGGACCCCTGGACAGTGTGGGGCCCCTGGACAGCTAGGGACCCCTGGACAGTACTGCAAGGCCAAAGGAGCCAAGGTGACAGGAAGAGAGGAAGGCAAGGAGGGGCCAGCAATCCAATACATTTGACTGTAGCTGGGACTCAGGTGTCTAAGAGGACACAGATCTGAAAATTGGCTGTGATTGGCGAGTCAGGTTCCCAGGTTAGGCTCTAGTTCCTGTGATGAACAGGCCGAGCTTTTCCTAGAAGAATCAGCTGAGGCTTAGGGAACCTGCTTGGGATTCTTGGCTGGCTTGCTTTTGTTAGTCCTGGCCCACCTTCACTATCATTAATGTCAGGATTCCATGCTTCTCATCTAAACAAGACAGATAACTTCTCATCTAAACAAGAGAGATAACTCAGCAGTTAGGAGCATTTGCTGTTCTTCCAGGGGCCCTGAGTTCAGTTCCCAGCACCCACTTCAGGCTGCTGGCAATCATCTGTAACTCCAGCTCCAGGGTACCCGATGACTCTGACCTCTTCAGATAGCTACACTCACATTCACAAACACACACACACACACACACACACACACACACACACACACACACACACACACACCTACAAATAGTTAAAATACAATAAAAATAAATCTTCAAAAAAATTTAAAGTGCCACAATGATAATCTCACCACAGGCTTGTAGTGAAGTTTAAACAAAGCACAACCTCTTGGCACCCTTAGCACCTGCAAGGAGCATTTTAAGAAAAAAGAAAACAAAGGCCTCCCCTCCTGGTTGAGTGTCAAGCAACACTAAATGCATTTCATGCACCGGGTAAGCACAACCATCCGGTAGGTGGGTTACTCATTACTGTCCCAGTGTAACTGAGGCATAGGAAGCTCAACAACTTGTCTGCACAGCAGAGCCAAGGTGTGAGGGAAGAGAGCCCAGTTCTGGGGTCACTGCTCTGCTTGGGTACTTTGCCCCTGCCTCTCAAAAAGAGTTCTTTTTATTTATGTGTTTATCTCTGTGTGAGCATGTGCGCATGAGTGCAGGTGCCCAAAGAGTTACCAGAAGAGGTTGCCAGATCCCCTGGAGCTAGTTACAGGGGGTTGTGAGCTTCCTGAGAGGGTGCTGGGGACTGAACTTGGGTCCTTTGGAAGAGTTGCAAGGGCTCTTACCTGCGGAGCCATCTGTCCAGCCCAGCTTTCCTATCTCTTGATGTATCCTAACTGCTCAATTAGTGTGAGCTGCTGGTAATAAGGATGTACACAGCAGGGCTGTTGAGTAGCAGCCATGGCAGTGGTGTTCAGCAGCCAGCTCTTCAAGGCTCCAGTTTGTAGCTTACTCCACTCACCCCGGCATGAATGTCCCTCTGATGAATGAGGAGCTGGGGAAACGCACACACACAACAAACTCTTGCAAGAAGATAGGATCGGTGGCAGCGCACCACTGGGAGATCACTGCAGATCTGATCCACACTGGCAGCCAGACAAACTGGTTTTCCACTGACAGGAGCTGTCCAGGGTCTCTCCTGGGCCAAGGAAGAACCAGGCCAGAGCTCTCTTGCATTGTCCTTTGCCGATGAGCTTTCTGGTGGAGTGTCTGCCTGTTTGTCTGTCTGCCCCATGATGGTCTAAAAGGGAGGATCATGCTTTGGTGTCCAGCTTATCTTTCAACTGTTGGGCTCAAGCAATCCTCCTGCCTCACCTTCTGGAATAGTTGGGTCTACAGACACACACTGGTATTCCTGGCTTTGATCTTTAAGATGCAGTGTTCAAATGCTAGCTTACTGGTTGTGTCTCATTAAAAAAAAAAAAGCCTTGAGCTGGGGTGTAGCCTAGCTGAGAGTGCTTCCCTAACATGGAGGAGGCTCAAACCTCAGCATCAGAAAACCAAAACTGTTTGTACACGATGAAATAACAGTAACGCTAACGGTGGTAATCAAGCAAGATGCATTATGAGCCAAGCGCAGTGTTGAGTAAAACATCATCGTCTCATTTAGCCCTCCGTCAGTGTTGTGATGTATTAGCACCATTATCACAGGGAAGGAAACTGATTAGTGACAGAGAGGCTAAGGGGCAGGCCAAGTTTCCGTAACTTATAGCAGGAGGGGCTGGATTTGAGCATTAGAGAAAGATCTGAATGGCCAACGGATTTCGAGCAGGTTGACTTGAGGCGAAAAGGGGTGGGGGTAGGGTTGTGTGTTGTCCAGAGGTCTAATCTCTCTTCTCCCTTCCGCCCCTTCCAACCACAGACTCAGAAGGACGACGAACAGAATTCTGGCCTCCTCTTGCTGCAGCAGCAACATTTTAGGGTCAGTGAATGTGTGCGGCTTTGAGCCTGATCAAGTCAAGGTGCGAGTTAAAGATGGAAAAGTCTGTGTGTCCGCCGAGAGGGAGAACAGGTATGATTGCCTCGGATCCAAAAAGTACAGTTACATGAACATCTGCAAGGAGTTCAGCTTGCCGCCATGTGTGGATGAGAAAGACGTGACCTACTCCTACGGGCTCGGCAGCTGCGTCAAGATCGAGTCTCCGTGCTACCCTTGCACATCTCCCTGCAACCCCTGCAACCCCTGTAACCCCTGCAGCCCCTGTAGCCCCTGTGGGCCCTGCGGCCCCTGTGGGCCCTGTGGCCCCTGTGACCCCTGTAACCCCTGCTACCCCTGTGGAAGCCGATTCTCCTGTAGGAAGATGATCTTGTAAGGCGTGTGTAAGAACCTATGTCTTAGCAGAAGTCAGTTCTCCAGCCAGGCAGCTCTTCAGCATCTCTCTTCCCCTTCCTATAGCCCGTGTGGTTCAAGTAGGTAGGAAACTGAATACATAACTGCAATCTGATGCCGCTGTGTGCTAGTCTTTTGCTATGACCCCCTCACCCCCACCCCAGAGTTAGCTGATTGAAGGATTAAAGGACAGGATAGAAGGTGAGATGAGATCTGCCCTCCACATCCTTCATATCCAACAACCTCTAAACTCACAGGCATTCCTCGACACTAAGTAATCCTGTGAAATGGCCCTGCCTGAAAAGAACACGCTTAGGGTAGTTTAGGTGGAAGATAATACTCAGTGAGGATTTGCTGGTGATGTGACCTCCTTCCCAAGCCCAACAGGACTGTGGATTTTACCTGGGGACCAGACAATCCTTAAAAGAATACAGCAATGTGCGGCATGTCCGCAGATCCCAGAGCAGGGCAGCCACTGAACTTCAGTGTTTCAGCATTCCTGCAGCTTCGACTCTCCCCCTCTGGCTCAAGGTAGTTTGCAGTCTCCTGGGGATTTATTGCAACTCTCTTTTTCCAATTCTTGAAACTGGTTTTGGGCAGAAGGTCAATGCAAAGGTCAGGAGCAGGAGAGTACAGTTTCAGCAACTGATGGTGTAGTTCACTTGTGTTTGGGTCCTTACTGACGTAGCTCAAGAGCCGTTGTTTGTTTTTGAGGTTGGTCTTACTGTGTAACTCTGACTGTCTGGAAAACTCATTATATAAGATAAGACTGGCCTCAAACGCACACAAGTCTACCTGTCTCTGCCTCCTGAGTGCTGGGACCACGCCTGGCTCTTGATGACTAGGGAAAAGGGAAGTATGAAGGAAGAATGAAGGGACGCTGGGGAGGAACTGGCTGAAGCTGGTCTCAGATTCTTAGAGGAAACACAAACTCCTGTTTGCGTAGCTGAGTCCTGTCATCGCCTGTGGATTAGTTTCCTCTGTGTGAGCTGCACTGGGGAGTTACCTGAGGAGCTGTAAAAATATGGATGCCAGGCTAAGAAGATGGTTCAGTTGGTAAGAATGCAGGCTGCACAAGTGTGAGGACCTGAGTTCAAATCCCCAGGACCCACTCAAAGTTGGGCATGACGTGTAACCCCAGCACTGGCCTAGCCTAAGTAATGAGCTCCCAGTGCATTCAGCGTATTACCTGGGGTTCTCTAGAGGAACAGAACCAGGAGAGTGAGTGTACATTTAAAGAAACATATTCAGTTGGCTTACACAATACGGTCTGGGCGTCTAACGTGGCTGCCTCACACCAAAGCTGCAGAGAACGCGGCCGTTTCTCAGTCCACAAGGCTTGCTGTCTCAGCAGTCCCATTCTGACACTGAAGGGTCCTGGGGAGCCTGGTCTTCAACCCCTGTTGGAAGGTCCCCCCAGCAGGGTTCTGACGTCAGTGAGGGAACATGGCGGTGACAGCAGCAGTCAGCGCTCGTGAATGTGCCAGCCAGAGCAAAGGCAAGCATTCGAAAGCAAAGCTTATTTCTTGGGCCTTTTTTTTGGGCTGCCACCAGAGCACAGCCCATGTGTGGGGTGGGTCTCCCCACTCCACATAACAGATGGAGAAAAGCCCTCACAAATGAGCCTGGAGGCTTGCCTTTCAACTGCTTCCAAATCCAATCAAGGTTACATTCAAGATTAGCTGTGACAGTGAGAGACACCTCTCTCTCTAAAGGAGGTAAGGTGGGGAACAAGGGAAGACACCCTTGTCTTCCTCAGGCTTCTGCGCATGCACACATAGCCACACATCCCTACACTCATGTGCATACACAATACACACCACACCATACACAGCACCACAGTACACACACATGCACACATAGCCACATATCCCTACACTCATGTGCATATACAATACACACCACACCATATACAACACTACAGTACACACACATGCACACATAGCCACACATCCCTACACTCATGTGTATACACAATACACACCACACCACACCATACACAGCACCACAGTATACACACATGCACACATAGCCACATATCCCTACACTCATGTGCATACACAATACACACCACACCATACCATACACAGCACCACAGTACACACACATGCACACATAGACACACATCCCTACACTCATGTGTATACACAATACACACCACACCACACCATACACAGCACCACAGTATACACACATGCACACATAGCCACACATCCCTACACTCATGTGCATACACAATACACACCACACCATACCATACACAGCACCACAGTACACACACATGCACACATAGACACACATCCCTACACTCATGTGCATACACAATACACACCACACCACACCATACACAGCACCACAGTATACACACCTGCACACATAGACACCCATCCCTACACTCATGTGCATACACAATACACACCACACCATACCATATACAGCACCACAGTACACATGCATACACACACACACACACACACACACACTTAAACGTTCATGTATGTCCAGTGGTAGAGCTTGCCTCACATGGTTAGGGCCCAGAGTCCGGTCTGTACAATCTTTCTCCCTGCAATCAATCTCTCCAGAGATTAAAATGCTAATCACCTCATGAGACAGCCTGGGCAGCAAGATCTTTAAACGTTTCCCCAGGTAATTCAAGCTCTGGGCATTCATAAAGCCCTGTGAGCCTTTCTTTCAAAGCCTCCTTCAAGTTCAAGGTTTGAGAATACTAAGAGTGACAGCAGACATATCTGGCTTTCAGCCGAGGGAAGGAATGGCCCTCTAATATAAATGTTGAATAAAAACCCTGAGCCATTTCCAAAATCAATTACCTAACAGCTATCCATTTGAGTGTACCAAACTCTGGCCTCACCCTTCTGTCTTGCCAAGTTTTCACTAAATGTTGACGTACATATTCTAGTTTCTAAGTTATAAACTTTTGAAAATGCCTTTGAAAAAGTTTCTCCCTATCCAGCTTAGCCCATGGGAAGTGACCCCTCAAACAGGCAGCAAGCTCAGCCCTCCTAAGAGCACTACTCCAGGACTCGTGGAACGAGTCACGCTTTTATTTCTCCTGCTAATGTAGTAATTCACCCACTCATTCACCAGCCCACTGGCCAGACATGCCAGATACTGTGCTCCACAGTGAATGGAGAGAAAGACACTTTCACAGGGGTATTAAACTCAAGGAGGGCACATCAGAAGGGTACGAGGTGGAGAATGGGGAGATGCCGAAAAAATTACACTTATGATGAGTAGGAAAGGCCAGAGGTCTTCAGACCAGTCCCCAACATTGCCATGGTGGGCACTGTTAACATCACTGCCTTGAACCACGCCTCTGGGAAGTCGGGGGCCGGCCTCAGGAGAACCAGCTGGCCACCTCTGCTTACCATCAACACAGGGGGAAAAAATGATAAATAAGAGTTGGGTCTGTTACCTGGCAGGGGAGATACCATGATCACAAAGGTGGTTTTCCCAGGGCGAGGCTTATCCATTGCACTCCGGATGTGCTGACCCCTGCGATTTCCCCAAATGCGGGAAACTCGACTGCATAATTTGTGGTAGTGGGGGACTGCGTTCGCGCTCTCCCCTGTTAAGAGTAAAAAATTAAAAAAAAAAAAAAAGAGTTGGGTCTGGCAAGATGGTTCAGTGGATGGAGAATTTGCCGCTGAGCCCGACAACCTGAGACCAACATGGTGGAAGGAGAGAACCAGTTCTCTCCTGACCTCCACATACGTGCCAGGGCACACACGCATGAGCGCACACACACTAAATGAACATAATAAAACAGAGTTTTAAAAAGACAAGGGTTTATAGACTGAGTACTTGCCCTGAGTTGAGGTACAGTGCCAAGAGCTATTGTTAATAGATACCTTTCTGGAAATTTCTGTAGAGAAGGCAAGACTAGTGCCCACAATATAATTTGAAATGCTTGACTGTGTATTCAGAAGGCATTGTCTGTGTACCTCTGACATCAGAGAAGGATGTATGGGGTGAAGTCAGAGGAGGAGGGAGAATGTGTGAGCCTCACCTGGGGCCTTGGAAAAGGCATGTGGTAGGGCCTTCTCCATGAACTAGTAGAGACCAGGGAGGAAATGGATAATAGAGAAAAGAAAACAAGCATTTGCCATTTCCAAAGTTGTGTTTGGATGGTTTTACAGAACCTTGGGCTTGCACAGCTCTGCCATGACCTTGAAAGCAGTTTTGCAGAACAGAGTGCAATCTTAAATACTCTACTTCATGTATTCCTGAAGGAAGATGGGGACAAGGAAGAGGCTGGAATGGACAGAGGAAGAAAGAAGCTTGGATGGTGTTAGTTTCTTTCCCTGTTGCTGTGGTAAACTACTCTGATAGAAGTACCTCAAGGGGAAAAGGTTTGTTTCAACTCAAAGTTCAAGGTTACAGTCCATCACGGAAGGAAATGAAGGCAGCGGGAGCCTAGAGCCTCCAGTCACATCACACCCACACTCAGGAAGCAGAGAAAGATGAATGCACGTGGCTGCTCAGCTGCCTTTCTCCTCTTACACAGTCCAGGACCCCAGCCAGGGAATGGTGCTGCCCACAGTGGGCAGATCTTCCCACCTCGGTGAATACAATCCCCATGGGCATGCCCAGAGGCCCATCTTCTACACGTTTCAAGATCCTTTCAAGTTCACTGCACTAATGGTCACAGCTGGAACTGACAGGCGAGAAGGCTCTAGTTCTCTATCCATGTGTGTGCAATGAGTGGATGATAAACCAGGTAAATGTGCAACCTCTGAACATGAACACGGTCACCAAGTATTGTCAAGGTTGGAGATGAAGGTGCCTGAACTTCTTAGTGCTCATGGAGTATATTCTAGAGCCAAAGAGTTTTTTAACTGAGTCATGAATAAGAACTTTCACAGGCCTAGTACTGACAGACGTCTTTCCCTAGTACTGCTTGATTTCTTTCAAAACCTACATGGTTTTATAAAATGTCTAATAAAATGATATTAAAGGAGCTAGAGAGATGGCTTAGCAGTTCAGAGCACTTGCTGTTCCTGCAGAATACTGGGGTTCAGTTCCAAGCACCCACATGGCAGCTCACAACTGTTGACTTCAGTTGCAGGGCACCCAGCACACCTTTCTGGCCTCCAGGAGCACAGCACAGATGTGCTGCACATACATACATGAAGTGAACACTCATACACTTAAAAATAAATCTAAACAAATGGTACTAACAATCCCCTTCAGTTGACTGTTCTCTCCCAAAATAGTTTGAATTGGTGAAATTGTTCTTATATCTAGAACTAGTGAACTTCATAGAAAGATATCTAAATTTCTGGGACTGGGGATGTAGCTCTCTACACGATTCCTTTTCCTGCCTCTGTCTCTCCGTGTTCCTCTTCCTCTCTCCTACACACGAGCGTCACAGACTAGGTAAGTTTTTGACTCTGATTTAACCCTTCAGCTCAGGAAACGATGTAAAAAATGATGTCAGAAGTTCTTACTAACCCAGAAGAGAGTGATTTTAAAGGAAACTTGGGGCAGGGGAGGGTGTTGCTAGGTGACCCAGATTAACTCCCATGACTCTGCAGGGCCTTCAGAGGCTTGGGTGTCACATGACTTATGGTCATGAGGAGAGTGTACATGACCCTTGAAAGAAATGCATCTTTCCAGTTTGGAGAGGTTTGGTAATAAAAGCCAGGTATGTGGTACTCCCAGCAACCCCAGCCATTAAAGAGCTAAGGCAGAGAATTCGGAGTTGAAGATCAGCCTAAGCCACATAAGAAGACCCTACATAACAAAACAAAACAAGATATAACACTGTCTTAGAGTTTACTATTGCTCTGAAGAGACACTAAGACCATGGAAGCTCTTATAAAGAGTTTAATTGGGGTGGCTTGCTTACAGTTTCAGAGGTTCAGTCCATTATGATCATGAAGGACAGTATGGCAGCCTGCAGGCAGACATGGTGTTGGAGCTGAGAGGGTTACATCTGGCAGGCTGCAGGCAGTCAACTGTCACATTGAGGGAAGCTTGAGAAAAAGAGATCTCAAAGCTGGTCCCCACAGTGACACACTTCCCTTTGGGAATCATTTTCTTTCAAACATCACAAACACAAAACCAGAACCCATCCATCATGTAGGTATCTAGATAAAATTTATCAGACTTAACTACTCTCCCTCTAAACTACATCAAGCCCTTCTTCCAGTGTTAGGGGCACAAATGTCTGCAAACCTGGCCCCCATCCCACCACACACTGGAGGCTTGTAAGCCTTGACCTTCAGCCAGGACAAGACCTGTGATCAGCACGAGAGCCCGAGTGTGCTTCTGAGCATCTGTGTCAGAGGGTTGTGGATCCAGGACACAAGGCTGGTGTTTAAATCCATCTGTCCCTGTTCCTAGGACACGTGACCCACTGGTGGAGCCTCTTCTACCAGGTCACCCTTGTGATGGAAAAAGTCCCAGTCTTGGTGGACCAGACCACCAAGCTCTGAGGAGCCAGGATTTCCAGTTAAGGTTCTGCACAGTACTCTCTTCAACTCAAACTCCAGTGGGAACTGCATTTTCATACACCAAACTGAGCAAAGAGCCAGGCAGCATGTTCCTCTGGCTGGCTGCCATGTTCCTTCTTATCTGAGCACCTAGAACCTTCTAAGACTTCTTCCCTATCCTGCACCTGTGTGTATCCAAGGTGGATCTGGCCTGTGATTTTCAGTGAAAAGTCTAACAGTGGTACAAAAACACACACTTTATTATATATAAAGTAACTGCTTTTTCTGGTTGGGAGTTTGTGTCTGCAATCCTGACACTCGGGAAGCCTGAAGCAGGAGAATTCAACTTTAAGGCCAACCTGGTCTACAGGGTTAAGCTCCTGTCTCAAAACAAAATGTGTGTGTGTGTGTGTGTGTGTGTGTGTGTGTGTGTGTGTGTGTGTGTGTGTGTAAGAGAAAGAGAGAAGCATTTTCATTTAAGATAGAATATAGAAAGAATCACAGCAAACATCGAGCATTAAAGCCATTTTCACTAACAACTTCTGTAGTTAATATCTCTTGTGAAGGAATATGATTACCATGTTTCTGGAAACAAAGTCAGACACAAACTTTGTTCTTTAAAAAATATGTTTATAGTTATTAAAACCATTTTCATTGATTCTTTGTTGTTGTTGTTGTGTTTTTTTGAAACAGGGTTTCTCTGTGTAATAGCCCTGGCTGTCCCGGAATTCACTCTCTAGACCAGGCTGGCCTTGAACTCACAGAGATCCGACTGCCTCTGCCTCCTGGGATTAAAGGCGTGCACCACCACCGCCCGGCTGCAGTATTTCTACGGGTACAATGAACATCCTAGATTTTCTGGAACAACCAGATCTCAGTGGCATGGTGATTAGGGACAAGAATATGTGGTCCCCATGGGTCACCTGTGTGAGGTCAAGACTGAGGAATAGGGTAAGGAGCTAGCACAGACCCCTCCGGAAGTCCTGAGAGCAGCAGGAGA